TATTTTTGTCGAACTTTACGCAGATATCAATATCACGTTGTCAATATTGATGTGTTTTATTGCACATTTGATAAAGTTGGTTTGTCAAATGTTGAATTATTGGACCAGAAAGTCCAGAAAGGTTCAAACTACAATATTTAACGTTCTATCTCGAGATCCGAGATTGAATATCTGAAGTTTCCGCGTATTAATAAATTGCATATAAAATTAGTGACAAAAATAAGTTAATCAAGCCAAGTACATCATTTTTTTAAACAGATTACGTTACAAAGAAAATGCAGTACACTCTTTGTCTTTGTAATCCCTTTTAAAATACCATGTTGAATAAGTATGACGGTCCATATCGCCGATGGCCATTCGCTTGTCGTTTAACCGTTACGTCGTAAAGCGCATACGAGAAAGATCAACCCTCGTAAGATAAACTCGAACAAGTACAGGAAACCATAGTGTATATAAGCAATTTCACCCTCTCCTCCTTCAGGCGACATTAATCGTTCCTGCACATGTTTGCGTATCACCTTGCCCTTGACACTGTCGTCAACCAATGCGAACGAGAAGCTACTAGTGCGCGCCCCACTTGCCCTAATTTTCATCCAATCCTAATTATACAACGTCCGGCAGGCATAAAGGAAGTAGGACGGAGTAACTACGAAATTGCATGCCTTTAACCTTTAACATTCCGAAACGTTCGATATGCACGTATATATGTATACAATACATATACATATATATGGAGGGAGATAAGTCAGTTCTTTTTGGCCGAGTGTTTCAAATATCAAGCATAAGCACACGTTTGTTTGTTTTTAAGATAAATAAATAGATCGATCTCTTTCTCTCGAGCGACCGCATGCGGTAGATATATGCTGATGTTTTTTTTCATAGAATCTCCTAAACGAGTGATTGGTTTTCTCCATTGTTATTGTTTATTTACGCAGCAGATATTCGGAGTGTTTTCTTTCTGCTGGTACAATGTCTTGAGATCAATAATTAAAATTCACCAATAATCGACTGGCTGTTACTTTAGCCTTTGCATAATAAACATCGCTTGTTTCATTCAAACTTTAATTAATGAACCAAGCTTGTCATTATTTATACCTGGATGCACATTGTAAATACAATCTGCGCTCGTTCGCTGCTACCTTTATACACTTGTATTTATCAAAAGCTTCGTACGCGGTCGAGCAGTGCGAAGTAAGTATATTCGAAGCACTCTAGCGAGGAGATGAAAGCTCCTAAAAGAGAAAGGCCGTGATATACCGTAATATACGATCCTGCAATCCTTCTGTTTTTCCATTCAGAGGTGAAGCACTCGTCCGTCTCTAACATCCACATTTTTTTTCTTCCCGGCTTTTCGCACCGGTTATTTCCACCCTCATTTGTCCTATCGTTCTCCTTCTGCCATGAAAGCGCATAGAACTGAAAGCAATCAATTTATCAGCGCGCACACGCGCGCTGCGTACATTCGCACGCACGCACACACAAATAAATACGCGGTGAAGACGTCATGCGAACAGCGAAGGTTACGTATTATATGTTGAATACGCCGATTCATTTTCCTACCCTCCTGCGATTGCGGGATCCTTCTTTTCAACAGCCTCGATAGATTATCGTTTCTCCCGTTGTTAGATTTTCGACGAGCTTTCTTTCTTATCGGGGCAATATTTTACCTTATCGAGCGTAGGTCGCAAACATGACACTCGTGAATTTATACAGGATTCGAATTACAGGCTTCAGTAAAATCTTCTACGCATTTCTCATTGTTTTTCTATATGCGAAAGCGTGGAGATTTGTGCGGTGTTTATTGTGAGACAATTCGACAATTCTCTCCGCATTACGATAGGAAATTTCTCAGATCATTTTTTCGACATTCGACACGAATCCGCGATCCGGTCGCGGTGTCGATGCATTTCTCTCTCACTCATTCTATCTTTCTTCCTCCCTCTTTCTCTGTCTGTCTTTTTCCGTTCTTGAAACAACGCGCCATTCTACGCGACAAGTATCTCCTCTGGGAACGCTT